TTTCAATGCTCATCCAGGTTGTAGCATGTATCAACTTCATTCCTTTTTTAGGACTGAATACTATTCCACGGTATGGCTAGACTACATTTTAGCTATTCATCAGCTGATGGACACTAAGGTTGTTTCTGCTTTTTGACTATTACAAATAAAGCTATGGACGTTTCTGTACAACTTTTTATGTGAACATGTTTTCAGTTCTTTTAAATATATAACTACAAGTAGAGCTGCTGAGTTATCAGGTCACCGTGTTTAACTTCTGAGGAAGTGCCAGGCTGTTTTCTGAAGTGACTGTGTCATTTGACACTCCTACCTGCAGAGGTTAGGGTTTCAGTTTCTGCACATCCTTGCTAACACTTAGCTGTCTTTTCATCCTAGTGGGTATGAAGTGGTATCTCAGTGGTTTTGATCTGCATTTTGATCTGCATTTTTCTAATGATGTTAAACATCTTTTCATATGTTTATTGGCCATTTATTTATCTTCTTTGGAGAAATGATTATTTAACCCTTTGCCCATTTTTAAATTTGTTTTGTTTTGTTTTTGTCATTATGAGTTCTTCATATATTCTGGATGAAGTCCTTATCAGATATATGATTTGGAAATATTTTTTTCCTATTCAGGGGGCTTTTTCACTTTCTTGGCACAAAGCATCATGGCACAAAAGTTTTTAAACTTGATGTGATCTAATTTATGTTTTTTTCTTCTGTTGTTTGTGCCTTTAGTATTGTATCTAAGAAACCATTTCCTAACCCAAGGTCAGGAAGATTTCCTCCTGTGCGTTCTCCCAGGATGTTATAGTTTTAGATCCTACATTCAGATCTCTGATCTATCCAAGTTAACATCTGAGTTAACTTTTGTATATGGTATGAAGCAGGTGGATAGTAATGTTTTAGATGAATTGGTCATCTTTGGAGGATGATGGTGAACCAATTAATGGTTTTCAAAAGTGGCAGATACAGGGGATAGAAACAAGCATTTATCCTGTTTTTCCTCCACAATTGATACCACTAGTTAATAAGCAAATAGTTGCTATGAGGAAGTTTCCCTTTAAGGAAGAATTCCAACTCATGAATTAAAGAATTAGACTGTGATCACTGCATTCTCTACTGAATGTATAGATCTAGGCCACTATGGCTATGAAAGGGCTGCTGATATCACGGGGGAAATGAATGGATGTCAAGTGCTTCCCAATGAAGAAGGCACCACCACCAGCCTTTGGTGAGACAATTGAACCTGAATGTGACCGAGCAGCCAGCCAACTGCCAATATACAGGGTATTACGAAGCGGGGAGGAGGACGTCACACGACTCCACAGAGATGCAGTCAGCAAAGTATGGGAAACTAGAAGACCAATGACCTGGTTTCTTTAACAGACAGCAAGGGAAAAAATAAAGATGAAGGGGAAGCTACAGATTAAGAGAAACTTAAAGAGGCATATTAGCTAAACTCAAATGAGGGAACTTTATTTGAATCCTGATTCAAGTAAACAACAACCAATAAAATTATGATGTGGAATTATGATTGGAAACTTAACACTGAATATTTTGTGATATTAAGCAATTACTGCTAATTTTTTATGTATACAGGTGGTATAGTACTATACTTTTTAAAAGATGCTTTCTATTTTAGTGATAAATACTAAAATATTTATAGGAAAAACAAATTGATAATGGCAGAAATCAGGGCACATGTATGGTTGAATTTTTACAAAAAGCAGGTACTCTTGTGTTTAAAAGAAAATCAATAGTCCACGCATCAAAGCTATGACTGAACAAATACAAATACTGAGAAGACCAGAATAAACTGTTTCTGGATGGTTAAGAAACATTGTGTTTGGTGGTGTTAAGTATAGGGATTCAACTTTCTCCTCTACCATGTGAACTCTGCTTTTGTGATGGAAGAAAATCTGTTTTGAAGGCAGCTCCTCCAGAAAGGGGGTGGTGGTGTGGTCCTGTCTGTGCCAGAATGGTGGCAAGGCAAACTACTATGAGAGGGTCTTAGTACATCTAGAGGGGGCCTGATTCTGGTCTGATAGTCTGGACAATAGCTGTCCACAGAGGGGCTGTGCAGAGAAGGTATGGCTGGAGTGACAATGATTTAGATTCTGAAGCCTCCCCCTTCCATCTTCCCTCCAGCCCCACCTGCTGACCCACCCCTCCTGTTTGGTAGGTTGAGCCTCCACACCTGGCATAGCAGAAAGGCCTACAGAGCTCAGGACACAGGTTCCCAGACACAAATCTGAACGTCCAGGGCTCCCCAAGCTCCCCAAGCCTCTTGCAAAGAGGGCAAAGGCCAGGGACATAGTACAGACAAGGGGCTTGGTCCACATGCTTAAGCTGTCCTCACCAGGACACGTCCCTTGTGAAAGGTTAGAAGTCAGAAGTCCCACATGTCCTCAACAGCTGCCCTGCTGTCTCCTACCCCTGCCCATGACAGACATGGGGGCCACTCTGAGCCAACAGGCAGCAATGAGAGAGAGATGCAGACCTCAGTCTCTTCCAGGAGTGACTCATGGGACAGAGGTCTGTGAAGATAGACACCCTGCCTCTCACTAGGAGGCAGGCAAAACATGCTCACTGCACAGCCAAGGAATCTGGGCTCCCACCCACACTTTCCTTCTGAAAGCTTTGAGATGTTTTTGGGAAACCATCTCTGCACAAAAGTTTTTTTTTAAAGCTAATGCAGGAATAAATTCTAAGATTCTGAAGTACTTCAAGCAGAAAATGAAAAGTCAGTAAAATGAATCATTCATATAATTATATATGTTTTTCCCTTTTCCTCTAGAAAGAGAAAAAAAAGCCAACTCATCTATATATGCAAGCAAGTCTCCCTAGTTAACAATGAAAGACGTTTAGCCTCCTGCTTCCAGAAAGAAAGAAAAGGAAATTTATTTCACTGTTTCACCAATGAATTTAAATAAATTCTTATATTTTTTTCAATGGCTATGGGGCGAGATGACTAACCTGTGCCAAATATCAGGTTTGGAAGGAAATCTACATAAAGGCAAAAAGGCCAGAGCAGGGCCCAAGGTGGGCAGCTTCCAAGGCTGACTGGGGTGCCCCACAGCAGAAGTCAAAATGAGGTGACAAGAACATCTGGGGACACAGTGGTTCCTGTTTGGTTCACCTGTCTTGGACACTGCTATGGTTATGCGTCCATAAAAATATGATTACCGGCCAATAAAATGTTACTATGCAATAGGCATGAGTCTAACAGATCAACGTTTTGGGGCATCTCACAAGTGCCAGCAGGATGTGCCAGCTCTGTGCATCTCCAGGGGGGAGGCCAACCATCCTCTGACACCCCCGGTGGGCAGGAGGGAAAAGGTTCCACAAAAGACAGGCGAGTGGCGCCAGGACTAAAGCCTTGTTGAGAAAGAAGAGCATCTTCCTTGATTGTAGGCTTTGTTTCAGCCCCCAGAGGGTGGTGCTTTGGGATTCTCAGAAGTCCCCACATCCAAGATGTTGTTTTGGTGACTCAGTGAGTGTCTGTACAGAGATTAAAGCACTAACTGATAGAATCTTCCCAAGAACCCTGTGTTTGAAAACGCAGGGCTGGAATAACACCTGGAAAGGCAAGATAAGGCACTCTGTAGAAGGGAACCCACGGAAGCCCAGCCAGGTGTACTGGGCACCTCCCAACAGCAAAGATTCGCATCTCTGCCCAAGTGTGGCTGGCACGGGGAGGACCCAGGTGTAGCCCACTGGCTGCCCAACATGCTGGCAATAATCTGGTTGTAAATCAAGCCCAAGCCCGAGAAGGCCAGCCTAGCTGAGCTGGAGGGCTTTGTGAAGAGCCAAGCTCCTCCCACCACTGTGCAGCGCTCAGTTTCTAGCTGGAGAGAAGTGGGTGCTTCTGTTTGAATCTTTCTTCCACCAACAAGCCCTGCATTCACACCCAGCATATCTGTTATCCAAGCACTTCTCATCAAGGTCCCTCTTTCACGGCAGAGAGACACGTGCACTGCAGGGAGGTCCCTGCGATGGCCTCTCGAGTCAGGGCGGCTCTGGCAGTCACACTTGTCCCAAGACCCCAAGTTCATTTTCAGGGTCATATATTAACTCACAGTGGCCTTCAGCTTCCCTCAAACCTCACCATAAAGGATTTCATCTGCTCTCTATCCCGACACTAGAAAACAGTTTTCAGAAATAAAATTGCCATTCTTTATACTCCCAGAATTTATGATTTTCATCCATTAAACATCTGAAGGGCAGTGAGAGCCACTACCGAGATGGCCCCTGGCTAGCTAAGACACCCAGGGCTCTCTTCTGGCCCAAATGGACAGCCACCAACTCCCCCTCAGGTGATGGAGCTGTCATAATATATAATCCAATGCTAGAAATCACTCTAGGGGACAAGTGATTAGGAGGGTTTGCAGTTATAAACATGCACTTGACCAGCAGGCTAAAATCAGCCCCCACTTGGTCTATAATTTTGGAGAATCTCGCTATAATGGGTGTGCCTGGGTCACCACTGCCAGCTGCACCCAGGAGATGGGGAGACAGACAGATGGGCATTGGGATACAGGGACCATACCCTCCCTCTCCCAGTTACAACCTGCAGTACCAACAGGAAGAGCTGGGAGTTGACCCATCAAGGTCATGCCTCTGTATAGACCGGGTACAAATGTGGCATCCCAGCATCTCCCAGGAAGAAGACTAGGGAGGGTGAGCCACAGGGTGCTGGCTGGAGCTCACAAGGACCTGTGACAACATGCAGAGAGCGCCTGGTGACTCAAGGCTGGGGGCAGCCCAACCCCAGGAAGCCTAGGAAGCCCCGCCTTCCACCCACTAGACCAGGCACACAATGCCCAGGCCCTCACAGTAAGAGTCGCCGGGTGAGGCAAGCCCTTCCCCATGGAAGGTTCAAGCATCTACTTTACAATAACAAAGGTATTTCAGACATCTGTCACAAACCACGACTATACTGAGATTCACCATGTTGCTAAGAGGTTTTCACCCAAACACTAAGCGTGATCTGCAGAAATGAAACTCTTACACACCTTGTTTACTCTCTGGGGATAACACTTTTGCTGTCCCAAAATCTGTGATCTGGATGTGCATCTCCTCATTTAACAAAATGTTTTCTGGTTTCAGGTCCCTGTGAAAGCAGATTTTTGACATGTGAGAGAAAATAGTTAAAACAGTAACATTATTATGCTAAATTATGCTAAAAATAAAACAAACTGGTCAATACTTATAATCTTTACAGACTAATAACCAAGAATGAAAGTCTAAAGTTCACACTGAACAAATATCAACTGCATACAATGAAGACATTCAAATTACATCACTTCATAATTGCATCTATCGTTTTTAATAAACTTTTTTTTTTTTTTTAGCTGAGCCATCCTGCCACCTGTTGGCAGCTCAGCTCGGGCTGGGAATTGAACCACTGTTGCTCAGAGCTCACACTCTTGAGCGAGCTCTTAACCAACTGAACCACTCGGCCGGCCCAATAAACTTTTTACTGAAGTACCAACTATCATTTTTAACCAATAAAATAAAGAGCATTTAAACCTATTATGGGAATCATTTCACAATATATGTATATCGAACTATCATGCCGTGCCCCTTAAACTTATACAGTGATATATGTCAATTATTTCTCAATAAAACTGGAAAAAATAGTAAATTTTATATTCTGTGTATTTTCCCACAACTTTAAAAAAATCAACAGAAAAAGTTTATTTGAATACTTTCAATTTGACTTTATCAGAAAGCCATGGAAAATGAGACCAGAAGTACATACAAAAGCTACAAGTGACAAAATAAAAGCAGCAGTCAAGATAGGTAGGAAAACTGTCAGCCTGGCAAAAAAAAAAAAAAAGACATCAGAGCAGATTTATTTTATAGTTGAAGGTCCGTGAGGCTCTCAGCATCAGGGTGATGTGAACTCTTCTCGGCTCTCACGTGACACATCCCACCCTCCGTTACAGAAACCGGAGCTGCCCCCGGGCTGTGGGCAGAGTCCCAGGCCCCAGCTTGGTACCTGTGAATGATGCCCCTGCCGTGCAAGTACTCTAGAGCAGACACCATCTCGGCTGTGTAAAATCGGGTGCACGTCTCATCGAATGAACCGATTTTGCGAATGTATTTAAGTAGTTCTCCATTTTTGGCATAACTAAGGCCAAAATCTAAATATTGCATAGTTAAGGAAGAATGCAAAAAGTCATTTTTTTAAACTAACCTGAACAACCTAACAGGAATGTTTTAAGTTAATGAAAACTGAAGGTACCCATGGCCCAAGGCTGCTGCCCCTCCTCAAGTCACACCCTGCCATGGTTAGACCTGTGGTCTAACCATGGGAATCCCAGGCCCCAGCTCCAGGGCGAGGCCCCGAGGTAGCTTTCTTACCAAGGACACAGTGACACAAGCCTCTCAGCCCAACTGCCCCTTCTGGACCTCACGGTCTCAGAAGGCACCTGTGGCCCAAAGGAAGAGGCCAGAGATGGTGGTCAAATGCCTCTTTGCAGGCTTCAGCCAAGGTGTGTATGTGGGGGTGTAAAGGGGTAGGGGGGGTCCCCCCATATTCCAGTCTCCTCACCTGCACAATGTGTACACATTTACAGAGCACCAGCTGCGTTCCACATGCTGTGCTACGAGTCAATTCATGTAAACGTCTCAAATGAATGATCCTTTCCAAGTATAAAGTGACAAGTTTTGTAAGAGAAATGCCATTTTGATCACTTCTTGGTTCAATCTATTTAGTGGGCATCCATTGGGGACAGACTCGTGGAACACGGCCATCTTTCCCTTGGACACCACTACAGTGATTTGTTTTATTTCTATTCTCCCTTTTCCAAAGAGGACTACAAGTTGCAAAAATAAATGGATCCCATATAAGAGCTTCCTCTAGAAGCACCAAACATCTGCGCCTATTAATGGAAATTTGTAGGGCTTTCGCTGTTCCCTGGCAGCCAGAGACACGGGACCCAAGTCCTTAACCTGCCCTGAGCAGCGTCTCTGAGGGCAGGAAGGGGTGGCCCATGCTCAGGGTGTTCTGTCTAGCTTCTGTTTGCCAAGGCACTGCCATCTCCCACCAGAAAAGGAGTCTGAAGCCGCAGTACAGTGAGGACAAGCTCGGGAGGAAGGGACCAGCCACCAAGGCTGCCCAAACCTGCCCTGGATCCAGCTCCACCTGTGGTCACCCAAGCCCTTCCAACTAGGATATTTAATAGGAACCTGAAGCAAAAAACCAAAACTTACTTCTAGGGAATGCAACGGGTCTGGGCCAGGCCCCCTTCCCACCTTACCTGGCTCTGCCCCCTCCACCGGGAAGGCTGCAGACTCTGGCCCGCCTGACCCCAAGCAGCAGCTCAGTGCTGCCTGGGCAGGTTGTCCCACCTGGACTAGCCAAGAAGCCTCACTACTTAGGAACACCTTCTCCCAGGAACCTGCAGCCCACAGGGCCTGTAGCCCGCAGCGCCACTTCCTGATTCACATGCTCTGACCATTATCTGACCATTCCCTGATTTCCTATTTCCTGTGTGAGGGACACTTCTAGCTCTCTGCTCAGCTGTGGAGCTAAAATGACTGACAGGTTTTGAACATGACAGATATTAAGGATCACAACTCCAAGCCCGTGTTCCCTCCGACCACACACATTCCTCATCCCCCAGAAGCACTTTTTCAGGTCTCGCCGGTCCATTTCCCATCCAACATTTCTACCTCCCTCAGTGCAGCCGATGCCCCAGGGTGCAGAGGAGATGAGGCAGTTCTAAGCATGGAATGGGTGCATTCCCAGGAGGATGAGCACAGACTAGGCCTGTGGCAGGGCCTGGTGAGCCCAACGCCTGCACTTTGCAGAGGAACCTGGCCCAGAGAGGTTAAACAACTCACTCGAGGTCACAAAGCCAAGGAGGGACAGGATTGGAGCCCAGCCTCCTGAAACCTAGTGTACTGCTCCTGTCCCAAGCTGCAAGAGGGGACACACAAGGACGAGTAGGTGGTGGGTGGAGGAAGAATGCAGGCTAGCCAAGCAACAGACTCTGAAGCCCCTCAGCCTTCCTCCCTGCAGAAGGGAAAGGCACCCTCGCTGCCACAGTCGGTTCCGGTGCTCAGCCCAGCGCCGCAGCCTGGGAGGGAGGGTGGGCTTGCACTCAGTGTCTTGGAGCTCGGCTCCCTCTCCTGGGAGCAGGGTCTGAGTCTTGTCAAGCTGAATCTCCAGAGGGCAGGGAAGCTGTCAGGGCTCAGGGCCCCGCATGGACCCGCTGCCAGTTTCCAAGCTGCCATGGGGTGTCCCCAGGCTGTGCCTCACCTGTCCTGAGGGGTTTTTGCACCTGCTGTTGCTTCAGTCTCTCCCCAACATGTAAATTATGGCTAAAGTGAGGGTGCTGTGATACGGAGGTTTTCTTTAGGCAGAGTGTCCTTTTCTTTCTCTCTCAATACAATGTACACCACTAAGAATTTTGAGTCCCCAGTTTCACTCCCGTTGGAGGTAAAGGGAGCCCTCACGGCCTTCACAGGCATTGGAATTTGTCTTAAAATTTAAGAGCAACAGTTACCATTGGACAAAAACCTACAGTCCCCTCCACCTGCAGTGCTCTGGCCAATCCCGTCTGACATTAGACAGCAAACTCACTCATCCAGACTCTGGGACACCTGGTTCCACCACACATAACCTTGGAAGAAGCAGCAGCCAAGTGCATGCGGTCTGCCAGAGACCCCCCCAAACAACAAGACGCACTGTCTCTCAGGCCTCCAGAAAATCTGTCAGCCAGAGACCCCCACAGGCTTGAGGAGCAGTAGTCACATGAGTCCCGAGGAACATGAGCGAGGATGGGGGGCCAAGGTGGCCTCCAAGGTGAGAGACACAGAACAGATGTGAAGAGGCCCCTTCAATGTCCTCAGGAGGCCACTGATGGCTGCTGCATGAGCATGACAGCAGAAAGTAGGAACAAGGGGTGACACTGGAGCCAGGTGGAGAGGCAAACATTCTCTAACACCTAAAACACACCAGCAAGGAATCCCCCCCGCCCTCCCTGCCCTTGGCTTCGAGGCCACTTTACTGCTCCCCTTTACAGCGAATGCACCAGGAAGAACCTGCCTGGTGGGCTGTCTGCACTTCCTCACCTTTCTCTTGAACCGTCCTCCCACCTCCAAACTGCCACTGTCAACGACTTGCATGGGGGCCCATCCACAGGTCAGGTCCAGGCCCATGTACTTGACCACTCGGCAGCAGCTGGCCGAGCTGCAGCATCCTCCATCAGAAACCATCTAGTTCTTTGGCCGCCGGTGACTTGTCTTCTCAACTCACTGGAAACAACCCCCTCTACCCTCAGCTTCCTTGAAGGATCCCTTCCAAGCATCAGTCTTTGCGTTTGGGGATGACCCGGGCTCAGGACTCCAACCTCTGCTCCTGCGAAGTGCCCTCCAGTGGCTGGCCAGGCCACTGACACCACCCTCACTCCTTCCTGAGCTCTGCTAGTAGTAAGCACCTATGGATGCGTCAAATGCCAACTCCCAGCCTGGCCTCTCCCAAGTCTCTCCCGGCTCTATTATGGCACTGCTGTGCACCCAGGCTCTGAGGTCCACACCCCGGAGCCACATTGACTCCATTTTCCCTCCCCTCGCCCGTTCACTTACGGCAGCAGCCAGAGCAAACAGCTGCCCTGATCGAGACCCTACCAGGCTCCCTGTCATACTTAGAAGAAAATCCCAAATTCTTGCCAGGTCTTGGAGGCTCGAGGAGCTGGCCCCCGGCCAGCCTTTTCACTCCACCCACTCATACGCACTCCTGTCCTCGATCTGTCCTGGTCTCTGCCCGATGTCATCAACTCAGGCCACCGAGCTAAAAGAGCAGCATGTTCCACACTCCCTTACCTGGATTTGCTACTCTCGGCCCCTCAGTGACTATTCTATAGGTATTGATCACCTGTGCTACCTATCTCTTCTACGGAAATGTAAGCTACATGAGGGGAGAGCCAGTCATCTTATTTACTAGCACATTCCCATCGCCTGGCAGTCAGCAAGGACTTCTCAGAAAACAAAAGAGCAAATTCAGCTGATGGAGCCAGAAAGTGGTGCTTAGGGGGAACAGAAGTGAGCAAAGTTTTAACTCAGAAGAATTGGTGTGTACAGAGGAGAGAGGGGGAGGGAAGCCTGAGCTGGTGGGGATGGGGAGGGGGAGCCAAATCCTCAAGACCCTAGACCAGCTTTGCTTGTGGTGGGGTGAGGCAAAGGGGCTCTGGAGATCTCGTGGACAGGAGGAAAACAACAGACGTAAACACTAAGCTTTAAGCCTGAACAAGCTCGGAACCAACTCCATTTGATAGTCCAACCTCTCTCAGTCGAGTGGAAGCCAAGAACATCTGCTGGGATAAAGGAAAGTCACTGGGCATGCAGGGGCTGAGGGAAGTCTTGGTTTAGAAAAACAACTGCAGGCAGGGAAGGGGCTGAGAAGTGAGGAGAAGCTGGCCAGCCTGGCTACATGATGGCAGGCCCACAGGTGAGCTGCAGGACAGAGATGTGTGGCCCACCTGACTGCCACGGTGCCCTGCCTCCCTGATCCCTAAGCAAAGGGAAAAGAGAAAAAAGTTCTGCAGGGGTTAGAGAAGTCAGGGAGCATGAGACGCCCTCCAATAAAGCAAAGAATCAGTGGGTGTGACATTTCTGCTGGAGAAACAGCTAGACAGCCTTGGAGAGGCAGAGGCACTGGGTGATCAGAGATATCCATGGGCAGAGAGAGCCGACTCCAGAGTGGGTGCCACAGGGAGTGGGAACTAGGGGCGGGGGGAGGCTGGAGGACAGCATCCCAGGTACAGGGAAAAAGGGCTTCGGCTCCTGTGGGTCACTCCTCACCTGTGGGACTTCTCACATGGGGGCTGAGCCTGGTAAAGAAGTCCCTTCCAACCCAACACCCACGCGCCTGGGCCAAAGAGGGCAGCCAGGTGCCCACCTCCCAGGAGCCCCTGGTGCTCAAGCTCATTCTTCCTCTAACTTTAAGCACAGGACTTGACACTTGATAGATACTCCAAGGACAATGCTTAGAGGAATGAGGGAAGCCTTTGATTAAATGTATAGCAACCATGGGGTTAAAATATCGATCCTTTAGATACAATGCTTATCAATTAAAAAAACCCTCCAACATTTCTGTGATGGTCTCCCTCAAAGTAACCCCGAGCCACACAGTAAATTCCTCTGTATTTAAAATACGCCCGAAAGCGCCACTTGTGAAAACAATCAATGGTGTCACAATTCCAAAATGATAAGAGGTCACTGTGTGATTTCAGAAAGCTTTGACTGTTCAAAGGATACACAGCTTTTCATCATCCTGAAACGTGAAGTAAAGTTTAACAAAGAAGGGGTGATCCAGGCGTGACATCACATCTCTCTCTCTGGTTACATACGGGACCTTGTTCTCTTTGATAATGTGACGTTTCTCTAGAATTTTAACTTAAGGTAAGAGAGAAGTGAGTTACCACAATTGGAAACAGTAAGAATATACGAAAGACACAACTCATAAAAGAGCTGGTACACATTAAAGTTTTTCACAAAATACAACCACTGGCTTCATGGTCTCTAAGACAGACCACCAGCGTCCTATCCCGTGAAATCAGCACAGAAACCCCCAGGCTCTGGGCAGCCGGACAGCCACGTGCCCAGAGGTACACTGTCCCTGCATCCCAGACGCAGCTCGCTGAGTTAGTACTTACTAGCATATTCCCTTGAGGTTGCCAGTTCTCGGGCCAGGACAACCTGGTTTGGAAAGAAAAGGGGGAAAGAGAAGAGAAAAAATACCCAATGTAACCAGGGCGCTGAGTCTCGCAAGGCACCCAAGCTACCCCGCCCCCACTGCAAAATTACATTTAAATATTTGAAATTACATTTAAATATTTTTTACCCTGTGCTAACAAATACAGCTGAAAGTCAATGACTAAGTTAAGAATTCTAACAGTTCACAGCAAACACTATATCTCTCGACTATTTTCAGGAGGTTCTTCATCAGCCGCCAAGAATCCCTATTGTGCAGTGAAATAGACACGCAGGAACTTCCAGACCAGCGTTATTCCCACAAACGATGGGAAGGAGCAGCAAATAAAACCTCCACAAATGGGTGCTAGGAATTGCTTCAAAAAGTAACTTTTTGTTCATTGCAAAAAGCCGCCCTGAATTTGGGCTTTTTCAAATGATTGTTCCCATGCATTTCACTTGCTACTGCTGCTGTCAGACACCATAAATACCATCCCTGCTATTAAGGGCCCGGGAAACGAAATCTCACGTGACCTGCGGACAGCGCCTTCTGGGAGTCCTGCTCCCTCACAGGACACAGGCATACGCCCGGCTGTGTCCTCTGTGTGGCTCACCTGAGTCAGTACTCACATTTCACTTGGGGAACAGAGCATCAATGGGGCATCGCAGAACATGGGAAAAGCTTTTCCATAGAAACAAACCCTGGGCGCAACCTGAGCACCAACTTCCAAATGCCTGATGATGATAGCAGCCCCCACCACTGCCAGCTGGTACCAAACGCCTCTCCTAAGACATCTGCAGCGGGATGACCCAAGGACCAGAGGGCAGATGAAAACCTGCCCAACTCCTGGGAAACCCCTGGGCCTTCTGGGAAAACCCCAGAACACCATGGGCTGGGTTCATCCAGCCCAAGTATGAGTTAATCCTGATACAGAATTCTTTTCCAGACTTACCAGAAGCAATCCTGGAAAAGCACTGAATGAAACACCCTGCAGTCATTAAGAATGAGTATGGACTGTATGAACTCAAGTGGGAAGACCTCAAAGATCTTTCCAGAAGAATGTGCCTGTGTGGACTGTTGCAGGCGCTGGGGAGTGAGGCGGGATGAGCTCGGGAGGGACTTCCCTTCTCTAGGTTATGTATTTATGCAGTGTTAAATTTCTTCACAGTAGAAAGAATACTAGTACTTAATGGAATCCTTTCTGAAGATGGCTCTTTCATCTTTCTGTTGTGTGAAGTCAGCATTCCACATGCAGGTTTCCTTATGGGCGCAGGGCAGGGAGTGCCCCTCTTCCACCAAACGAGGCATGGACGCCTCCTTCCACGCCACCTGGGCTGATGGCAGGGCTAACCTGGACATCATGATCAGCTTCAGGGAGCTGGCTGGTAGCAGGCCGGCTTCTCTAAGCTCCAGCACTAGGCTCTGCCTGGTGAAGCCCTGTCCAGTCTGGAAACTGCTGCTTTCCTAACTGTAAATGATCTCTACTTCAGGAGTGGTGAGAAAGACCCGAGGGAAGCACACAGAACTTGAGACCGGGGCTGTAGGATTCCACGAAGCACTAGAAAGGAGCCTCCAGCTCATGGTACTTGAATGCCAAGAGTCACAGCTGGGGCTTCTCATCATCAGAGGCATGTCGCCCCAATGGACAGTGCCTACTGATACCCACTGTGGAAACCCAGGGACACGGGGGAATTTCACAAATAAGCCCTCATTCTCCAGTCAAGATAAATGTCCAATGAAGTAAAGCTGAGAAAGGAGAGAATTCTTCCTCTTTTACTGTACTGTTGTAAGTAACTGTGCAGAACACCAAGGTTCTCTTCAAAATAGTTTCTTTTTCCTGTAAAGATCTGTGAGTACAGGAGGACTAGGGACTACCCTCATAATTGAAGGTTTTTGTCCTGAGGGCACAATTCTTTCATAATTTAAACAAAAACTGCCAATTAAAAAAATCTAAATTAAAAGTGTAAGGGGAGCAAACGTTAACATTATTAAAACAACGCTGGGAACATGGCTGAGCTGTAATAGTTCATGTCCTTTGTATTTTGAAATATTTCATAAATATCAAGAGAAAAGGAGAACAAATTTCACAGAAGATTTCTTCACAAAAGCCAGGCGAGGAGTACTTGCTGTTCAGAAAGAACACTGTGAGGGTCAGGGGCCTGCAGCGCCCCCCTGGCGTGTCCACAGCACACGCTGGGCCTGGCTTGGAGACATGGCATCTAGGAGCTACCTTGTTATTAAGGCACCCTGCCTGGGGAGCGGGTGCTTGGCCTCCCCCGAGCCTGCAGCAAGCCCTTGGCCCCACCATAGCCACATGGGGCTGCCACCTTAACAAAGGGACTGGTTTGAACCTTCCTTTCTTTGCTTTAAGAGGAAAAATACCACAGAACTGATACAACTCACTCAGGTAGCAAAAAGAGTTACCCCAAGTGTGACTTGACAGTGCTATGACAACATTTCTGTTTATAAAACTGAGGACACAGGAATCTGGAGGCCAGAGGATCTTAGGCTATAACTGTAGCAAGGGTCAAGGGGGTACTGCTATTTATATATATATATACATACACACACACACACACACACACTTACATTTGTGTATATACGTATATATATTTGTATCCTTATATATGTTTATATATATGTATATATATATTTGTATATTTACATATGATATATATTTAGTAACGTTTGGACAGCTAATTTTCAATAAAAACCTGGTCAAGGAAAAAAAAATAACAGGGAAATAATAAGATTGTCAAATGTTTTCTCAAACCTCTGAAGAGTTTCTAACTTTCAATCTAAGGAACAGGAGAGCTTCCCAGGGCCTTGCCAATGTGACACAAAGACATGGAATGTAACTTGCTGATTCCTGATTAGATTAAAATGAACTGCATTAAAAAAATAAAATAAAAACTAAGAGATGCCTTTTAAAGCTTTCATCTACAAAATCATAGCTGACATGTTTTAGCTACGTGATCTGCTTGGTGGTAGTGACCCCAAGTTACCTTCACAGCAGGGCCCCCACCGCCTCCCCACTCCTCCCAGGCCTGAAACCCTCCTCTGGGGAAGATCACCACCCTGGTGTCTGGGTCTCCCAGCTCCCAGCCTGGAAGTTCAGTCTCTCCAAGGAAAACACACTCATTCAACAAACAGGAGCAGCGTGTACTCACTGTTGAAAACGAGCCTTCACCAAGAATTTTCCCAAATTTGAAGTCTTCAGGCCGTTTCTTCCGAGGCTGTGGTGGCGGCTGTGTGGTGTGTTGCAGCGAGTTGGCACTTGGCCGGGCCTCAGCCGCGGTGCTGTCCATGGTGGGGCCCTGCCTGCTACCACCACTGGCAACTCCAGGGGCCGTGCTGGACTCAGTCTGGGTCCTCACCATGGATGGGGATGGGCAGGAACATAACACCACGCTGGACTGAATAGGAACGGTGTCATACTGGTGAACAAGAGGACAAAGGTAAGACTCAAGGCTGCTCACTTTTCCTAAACACAGGAACTAAAGTGTTTACAGTGTTGAAACACAAATCCCAAGTACAGGGCAGGCCATCTGACATGCTGCCCTCCTCTAAGTTCCTTCTCAGCTCAAATCCCAGCCCAGCCTGTCCTGCTTGCCCACAGACCCTGCCGCCCAGCATCTACCTGCCGTCATCCTCCTCCCTCAGCTCTGTATGGGTTTCAAACCTCCTCCCACCAAATGGCTTTTCCCATCCTTGCCTAGACCTGCATCTATGGAAGCCGGTCCAAATCCTGTGACCACGGTGTCTCCCGTTCAGGAGCCCTCGCCGTGCTCACCACCCACAGCTGATATAAGACTAGACATGCAGGGAGACACTCAATTAGGGCCTGAACAAACAGACTGGCTTGAGACTGCGTCCCACAGTTAAATAGAATTTTAACCTGGCAGTCTGGGAATGCAGAAGTATAACTTAATGGAAAGAAGAGTCCAAGAATTGCCAACTACACATAAAAGTTATAGCTGATAAAAAATAAGCTCCTCAAAAAACAAACAAAAACTGTAGTGAATTGTTAACAATTTGAAAAAGAACTGATTTAGAGCCAAACTGACTGAGCCCTACACACCAAAGTTATCTCCAAACCAGTTAAAGAACTATGTGTTTTTAAATTATTTAAACGAATTCAAAATTTTAACTTCAAAAATTATTCAATGCAATCCCTATTAAAATCCCAACAGGCTTCTTTGCAGAAATTGACAAGCTGATCCTAAACTTCATATGGAAATTCAAAGGAACCAGAATAGCCAAAACAATCTCATAAAAAGAACAAAGTTGGAGGATTTACACTTCCAGATTTCAAACCTTACAAAAAACCCTTAGTAATCAAGACAGTTTGGTACTGGCATCAGGACAGACACATAGATGAATAGAACAGAGTCCTGAAATAAACCTACACATCAACCAATTATGGCCAATTGATTTTTGACAAGGGTGCCAAGATCCTTCAGTGGGGAAGAAGAGTCTTTTCAACAAATGATGCTGGGATAACTGGATAACCACATGCAAAAGAATGAAGTTGGATGCTTTTCCCATATCATATACAAAATTTAACTCAAATGGATCAAAGATCTACATCTAAGATCTAAAACTATAAAACTCTTGGAGGAAAATAAAGGAGTAAATCTTCGTAACCTTGGCAATGGTTACTTAGATATGAAACCAAAAGCGCAAGCAACAAAAGAAAAAAAAA